TGGGGCTGGGCCAGGGTCAGGGTGCAGCAGGGGCAGCTGCAGGGCTGCCAGGCTGAGGGTGGTTGTGAAACAGGGTGAGAGGCAGCAGGGCTGGGGCAGGCTCTCCAGCTCAGCCATGCGGTTTCCAGCCTGGGCTTTGCAGGGTTTCCTGCACTCTCAGAGCAGGTTTCAGCTGGGGAGGAACAGAATGAGCTCCTCCCCATCTCCACCACAGCCCCCAGCTGCTGCCATTCCTTCCTGGGACCATGGCCCCCCAGGCTCCACTACCCAAAGAGCCCCCAGCGAGGCTGTGCCATCAAGTCCCACATCCAGCCAAGCTTTTGGATTCACCTACAGGGAAATCACCACCCTGGGGAAGGAGCCAGACCCAGCAGAGGGGACCCAGGGGACAGACCCCCAGTAGCAGCACCACCACTTCATAACCTGGTTACTAATAACCTGGTGCTGAGGGGCAGCGGGTGCAGGACGCAAGAGAATCAAAAGGAGAAAGCAAACCAGAGGAAGTTTTATAATCAACGACTTTTTTTTTTTTTTATCTTTTGAAAATGGAAGCAAATATTTGGACAGGTTCTATGGCCGCTCTATAAGAGCGCAACTCTCCGGACTTGGCTGGTTCTCTTCTGGGATATCACAGCTACAAAAAGCTTCAGGCACTGACTCCGGTTGAGCCTGGCTAGGCATCAGTTCATTTAAATAAAACACAAGCAATTCACTAAAAAACCAGGGCGGGCCTTTCCTCTGCCCTCCACACACCCACCTCCTCTGGGCATTTCAAATCCAGCGTCTCTGAAAACTTATTTCCCTCCAATTAGAAAAAAAAAACACAACCCAAAACAAAACACAAAAGGTCCCCGAGCACACAACCCTGAAGTCACAGGTACAAATGGACACAGAGATCACCGTTTGGGGGAGCACGACGTTTGGCTTTGTTCTCCAAAATGAAAGAAAAAAGGAAACTACACATCAGCTCAGCCATGTACTGCAATACAACAACGGCACCAAACATCCAAATAGAACCCGGAGTGTCTGAACTGTGAATCCAGCACCAGTGCCCAGGCAGGGCAGGGGACATGCTCGTCCCTCCTGTTGTCCTCGCCACTTTAACACAACAAAAATCCACTTTTCTGAAGCTTTCATGCTCTGCAATGACATCACATCCTCTGTCTCTTGGCATCCAGTCCTCCAGTCTCTCCAGCTACGTCACCCACGCCATCCCAACACTCAGACATCCCTCCAGAACAGAGAATCCCTAACCTGTAAGTTCTGAACATGCAAACACTGGGGGGAAAAAAATAAATTGTGGATTTGAGGATTTCTAGCTAACCTAAGGGAAAGAAAATAATAAAAAAAGATCACTTCAGCCTGGATGAAGGGACAGCCACCGGGATGGCCAGGCAGGGACACTGCTCTCGAGTGGTGGCTCCCAAGCACACACACGTGCACACAGGCTGGGAATGTGGTGAGCTCTTTCTGGGATCCATCCCAGGCTGGGACAGCCATTGAGGTTCCTCAGCAGATCCCTCTCAGCACCCCAGACCCACGTCATCCCCATCCCAGGCAGCCCATCTCGCAGGGGTGACCCCACCTGAGCAGAGCTCTGCTGAGCTGGGGCATCCAAGAAATCCCAGGAGGAGCTTTCAAGCCTGGCGTGCTCATGGGGACTCTCCCTCGAGGATCTCAAAGGACCACGTGAGAAACCAGCTCTCCAAACTGGGATCAAAACCACCCTCCCCAGTCACTTCCACTCCGAAGGCCTGGGAGCACAGGGGGTCTGGGGGTCACTCATCTCTGGGAACAAAGAATTTCCTGCAAAGTTTTACAGAATGGTGGGGTGGTGAGGCAGGAATGATGGAGAGAGAGGAAAAACAATGATACAAAAAGATCAGAGGCATTTTGTTTCTGGAGACCCATCATGGTAAAGTCACCTAACTACTGCTAATGCTGTTTTGGAAGCAGTGTCTAAATTTCTACCATCAGCACTAAGGTGGGGGGGCCAGAGAGGTGCAAGGTCACAGGGTTCTGAAAGCTTCTGGAAGTCAAGGAGCTGAAGAGCGTGGTGGTGCAGTCAACAATATTTACAGCCAGGCACACAGCCCAATGGACACCACAGAGCACCTGGGGACTGCCATGTCCCATGGCTCCCCTCTCCCAGGGCACTCTTGCCACTCCACTCCAGGGGGGAAACCCAAAAATGTTTCCTGCATGAAAGAAACTTCTGCCTCAAAGGAAAAAAACCAAACCTGTCAGATAAAACATGTCCTTTTGGACATGGGCAGAGGAAGCAAAAACATGGGACTACTTTAAAAGGTCAACACAAGGCTAGTTTAAAAGTCGTGCAGGGTGTAAAAAAGAGAAGAGGCATTTTGTGGCATGAATCACCTCCCTCCACAGCTGCTTTTTTTTTTCTTAAACATGATGGGGACACGTGAGGGAGGCAGGAAAGGCAGCCTGAACCATCTCTGAGGGGTCTCAGCAGCAGCCTCGGCCACAAAGGAAACCAACCTGATTGTTCAAAATTGAAGACTGACACAAAATAGCTTCAGTTTTGTCCTCTGAACAGTACAGACACCCAGCACCCACACACACCCACACACACCCAGTGCTGTCCCTTTCAGCTGAACACACAAATACTGCAAAAGTGGCAAATAAGAAAAATAAAAAGCAACTTGTTTTGTTTTGTGGGGTTTTTTTGGCAACTTTAAAAAAAAATAAAATGGTTAAGAACAATGTGGCATTGGTCCCTACATCTTGAAAAGATATTTGGGCACAACACTGAAAGTCAGGATGGGTTTGTTTTCAAGAACTTGTAGCATCTGGGTAAAAAGAAGACTGTAAAAGTAGCACTTAATCTTTCTGACTTGGTTGACACAGTCACATAAATTCAATAAAACATCGGGGGGGGGGGGGGGCTGTTTTCACAAC